GAAAGAAAAAGAAAGAAATGAAAAGCTTTTCTAAGTCGAGTGCAAAAAAACAAATAAAGAAATTAATTTTTTTGAAGTCAAGTGAAAAAAAAAAAAGAAAGAAAGAAAGAAAGAACGAAAGAAAGACGAAATGAGATAAATGAAAAGTTTTTCTAAGTGGAGTAGAAAGAAAGAAAGAAAGAAAGAAAGAAAGAAAGAAAGAAAGAAATGGAAAAAGCTTTCCTGAGTGAAATTAAAGAAAAGAAGAAAAGTTTTTTTTTAAAGTCGAGTAAAAATATATAAATAAAAAGCTTTTTTAAGTGAAAAGAAAGAAAGAAAGAAAGAGAAAGAGAGAAAGAAATGAGAAGTTTTCATAAGTCGATGGAAAAGAAAAAAAGAAATGAATTATTTTTTTAAGTTGACTGAAAAGAAAAAAGTAAGAAAGGAAAAGGTTTCCTAACTCAAGCGAAAAGAAAGAAAGAAAGAAGAAAATAAAATCCTCTTAAGTAAAACGAAATAAATAAAAAAAAACTTTCCTAAGTGAAAAGAAAAAAGAAGCAAATAAAGGAAAATATTTTAAAGTCGAGTGAAAATAAATAAATAAAGAACTACCTTTGGGGGAAAGATATGAATCAATCTCCATACCACCCCCACCAGCTCACCCACCAACTATAGACTGAAGAGCAAGGTTGACTGTGCTTCCCTTGACTTGGGGTAGCAACCAGTCTAGAAAGAAAACTCTGAATTCAAAGTGGGGTGGCCTCATTCAGGCTCACTTACCCTAGACACACCACTGCTGCAGTACATGTGGTGTCGCTACGACCTATGCATTATGGGACTCTTAACGTGGCGTGACGTGATTGGCTGAATGGACGACGGCGAGATATATGTATGATGGCAAACAAAAACATAAATAATCTAAAGAAAATATAGGTAAACCAGTGAGGATTGAACTTACTATTAATGGTCAACCAGACCAGCTCGTTAACCATTACACTAATCCGCGACACCTAGACTTATTTTATTACGGTTAGCTTAGAATGGTGCGAAGTCATAAGTTCAGAGGACATCTTAAAAGAAAGACAATTGTTTTTTGTTCTTTTTAACTAAATTCTAAAAAATTCATTGATTTATATTCATAATCCGTAACGTGGCTTCCCTCTGTCTTTTCTATACATATTTTCATGGCAATTGTTCTGATGAGCTTTCCTCCGTGGTACCTCGACTACATGAATTTAAACCAACTACTAGATTGGCAGTTAGGTCTCACCATTTTATTGTTGAACTAACTAGATGTAACCTTTAAGTTTTATTCTAATAATTTCTTTACTCTCATTTCTCTTATTGGGATTACCATTAGTTTCTTGGTTCCTGAAATGCAATGTCAGTCTTTTGTCTTCTTGAAATCTGTTCTTTTATTGTCCTTTCTCCAAACTAACGTGTTCTCTTTCGTTTTCACTTCCAGTAACCAATTTCATTTTATTTGCATTATCTCCTCTCTTTGGGGAGAAATGATAAAGAAAAAGTTAAACTCATTTTGTCTTTAGACCACTCAGCCACAGAAGACTTTTCGAATCAAGCAAGGTTCAGTTACACTATTCGAGAAATGATTCTTTCTTGTTTGGATTTCCCAGCAGGAAAAAAATCTTTTGATGCTAAGTGTGCAGATAGATTACTATTAGCTTATTCGTGATGAATAAGCGATTCGATGTCACCTTGTTGCACTTGTCAATTATTAATTTATAAATGAGTTTTAATTTTAATTAAGTGAAATCGATTTAAAAAAAAGGAAGAAATGTTCCTAAAATAAGTGGAAATAAAAAAAGAAAGAAATGAAACGTTTTCCTAGGTCGAGTGTAAAGAAAAAAGAAAGCCGACCTTCTTCAGGTGGTTGGAATGCCGAACTGATAACTGACATTCATTAGACATGGCACGTGGAACTAGAACAGTCTACCCCAGCGAGCGAAATAAAGGGTTCATTCAATTCGACATTCCAACCACCTGAAGAAGGTCGGGGCGTACAACGGCTGAAACGTTGTGATAAATATGGCGACAAAGATGAGGACGATAGTCCGAATAATGTAAATAGTGTACATAATACCTCATCTCAGAAATATAGACAGATACTGAAAGGCCGAAACGTTGTAATAAATATGGCGACAAAGATGAGGACAATAGTCCGAATAATGTAAATAGTGTACATAATACCTCATCTCAGAAATATAGACAATAGTCAAAATAATGTATATAGTGTACATAATACCTCATCTCAGAAATATAGACAGATACTGAAAGGCCGAAACGTTGTAATAAATATGGCGACAAAGATGAGGACAATAGTCCGAGTAATGTAAATAGTGTATATAATACCTCATCTCAGAAATATAGACAGGTACTGAAAGGCCGAAACGTTGTAATAAATATGGCGACAAAGATGAGAACAATAGTCCGAATAATGTAAATAGTTTACATAATACCTCATCTCAGAAATATAGACAGATACTGAAGGGCCGAAACGTTGTAATAAATATGGCGACAAAGATGAGGACAATAGTCCGAATAATGTAAATAGTGTACATAATACCTCATCTCAGAAATATAGACAGAAACGCATAAGGAGTTGATATGCCGTTAAAAAAAATTGAAAAAAATCTTACTCTAAACGTTTATTTTAGTGAATGCAAGTTTGAGTAGACGCAGTATTTTTTTTTCTTTTAAGTATACCGGCCAGCTCCGAGAGACTTAATATAGAAAACAAGTTCTTCGGCACGGTCCGAAATTGTGTCATCTCTTGTAGGTGAAACCAATATCTGACCCACGCGCTGTAGACATAGTCTTGGGTATGAAAATAAAGTAGATCCGACAGCAAGGCCTCTGATCGGGGCTTTGGAAATTTTTAGAGGCATGAAACCACTTTTTAATTATTGTTGTTGCCAGGCCCACCCTGAGTCGGAATGGTAGCATATGTTAAGACTCAAGCTATGAGCAAATTGACCCAAAAACAAAACAGTATGAAAGTAGAAAAACACATCTTTTTATAGTAAAAATACCAGCAATACATTTTTATATAAAAAATTACCAACAATACATATTTATAGTAAAATTACCAACAAGCACATACTAACAAATTTTAGCGACTTCACACTAATCCATTTAAAATACTATCAAAAAATCACCATGAACACTTTCGTGGCATTAATCTAAGTAATATCCTACAATTTCTTAAATCAAACAGTATTCCAAAATATAACTTCAACAAAACAATATAAAACACACATATCACCGCCTCTGAAAAATTCCTTTATCCCTCGATGTTACTTTGTTCTCTGTACTTTTTTAATCGATTTCACCCCGAGCAAGGGAATAAAGCCACTAAGACACATGAGGTTACTGGGTTTGGAGCAATTAGAAACAGAAGCATTACTAATGAGCGGTAACAAAAAGAGCAATCAGGAGGATAGGATATAGTGATTGGTATTGAATTTAGATTTTTGAAAATTAAAGTTGACTGGAAAGTATAAACAGAGGGGGGGGGAGTTCCACAAGCGACAAGTGCGTAAAAAGAAAACTGTTAGCATAGAAACTACGGTTACATCAACTGTATATCGATGGTACCTCGTCGCCAGTGTAGTACTGCGCTTATAAAGTCTAGTCTAGGTACCCGAGCAAAGAGCTCACCCGAACAATTACCATGAAAGTATTTATAAAAAAGACACAGAGAGGCAATTTTACGATGATGGGCAAGTGATTGAAACCGAGCCGCCAGATCAGGACCAGTAACATTGCGGATTCTTTGGATTTCAGCTCAAGATAAATAGTTGAAGCACTGGACCATATGTGGCAACAATATTCTAAGCGTGGACGAATGGTAGACATATAGATATGTATGATAGATTCTGGAGAGAAAAATTATCTTGCCCAACACAGTGAACTAACTTTCTTAGCAGTTTACCTAGCAATGGATTCAATATAGTCTTTTCACTTCATATCGACCGAGAACGTTAACCCGAGATGGCTTAACGAGGCACTTTCCTAGAGGTTAGCATCAGCCATGCTGATGGAAAGTAGAGAGGGGTCACTCAGATGATTAATGGAGAGGACTTTCGTTTTGGAGGTGTTAAAATTGACAAGCCATCTGTTGCCCCAGTTAACAGCAGACTGGAGGTCTTTTTTTGAACATCGGCTGCTGTTTTCACCTTATCGAACTGATCAGACTTATTATCGAGATAGGAGTAAAAACCTGTTCTAATTTCGTGAGAGCATTACTTTCGGAGCACTCCACGCACGACGACTACCACCGCCAACACTGTGTATAAGTGTGCGTACGAGCGTCGTGGAAGGAAGGTCTGTGTTCTAATTTGTTATTACGGGAAGCAGAGGGAAGTACTTTGTCGTTTTAGTTTAAATTTTAATCCAAAGCCTATGACGAATTTAACGCTGTTTACCTGGACTGATAGAAATGGCAGAATGTAGAAGAATGGGTGGTCGCTGGTGGCCAGGGGCGAGGGGGATGCCTTATAAGAAATAAAACGGTATTTCTAACCGCAAGTCAGTGCTAAGTACAGTATAACTAAAATCCGCTTTTAGTTAATCTATAAGCATTTTCCATGGATTTAGTTATATTAAAATCTTTGAATGTTATACTAAAATCCTTGAAAATAGGCAAAGCGTCCAGAATCAATAAATATTTGAACAATTTCTACACTCGTCATATCCAGAAAAGAAAACACTTGTTCGCATATAAGAAAATATAATAAATTGATTGACTCCATTTTTATGATTTATCAACCATTTTCAGGTCATTTAAAGCCGGAAAATAGATTGCAAGAAGTCTTTTTGAGATAATAATGGTTTAGTGATATAACTCTTACTAATTAACCCATAGCTAGGGGGAAGAAGAGGAGGATTCATAACTTTCCCAAAGATATTTGCGCGTAAGTGAATATAACGAACCCAACGGGGATTGACTCTTCGATTACCAATTCCGAACTATTATCCATTACGTTACCTGTACATCAAAGCTTACAGCAACTAGTATTCCCAAACGGTCACCCATTTAAGTACTGACCAAGTTCGATGTTGCTTAACTTCGGTGATCGTACGTGAACCGGTGTTTCAACGTGAGGGATCCGTAAGCTTTACCCTCGCATATCCAAGCTTACAGCACCTGGTCTTCGCATGTGGCCACCCAACTAGGTACTGACCAGGCTAGACGTTGCTTAATTTTAGTGATCGTACGAGAACCGGTATTTCAGCGTGATGGGTCTGTAAACCTTACCATCTGCACAGCCAAGCTTACAGTACCTGGTCTTCCCAAATGGTCACACAACTAGGTACTGACCGGCTAGACGTTGCTTAACTTTAGTGATCGTACGAGAACCAGTGTTTCAACGTGATGGATCTGTAAGCCTTACTACCAGCACAGCCAAGCTTACAGCACATGGAATTACCAAACGGTCACCCATCTAAGTATTGACCAGGTTCGACGTTGCTTAACTTTGGTGATCATACGAGTATTTTTTTCAGTCTTGTTTAATAATATCTATATGTGCATATAGAAATTCCTAAGTCGGTGATGATGAAATGATACAAGCATGATTTTTTTATCTTATTGAAAATAACAAGCCAGTTTACCCCTGGTTAGAGCTAGATCTGAGGAAAGATCAGCTACCAGGTCCGATTCATCTTGATTTTCGGGTGTGGTTCCATAAATTGTGCTACCGTCTGCATAAATGTTTACTCTTGATTTGAGATCGTTCATAAAACGTAGAAAGTGAGTCGGAAGGAGAGAGAAATTTGGCGGACCCCTGGATTGATCTCCTGAGATTCGGAAGATTCGTCCATTTACAACGACCTTCACGAGAGAAAGGACTTGACAATTACGTAAACTTATTTAGAGATTCCATGGCATAAGAGTTTATGCAGAAAGCCTCTATGCCACACCTTGTCAAACGCCTTTGAGATATCCAAAGCAAAATGAAAACAAAAAAACAGCTCTTAATAACATCAAATATAAACACGGAAATTAAGACAGTCTACTTTCAGGAACTTTTATACTGTTTTTAACCGCATTTATACACCATTTATTTTAGTAGTATAACTAAAATCCTTGAAAATGGTCAATAGTTTAGCAGAAATCGCTCGGAATGAAAAAATCTTTAGGACAAATTTTACACTCATTAAATCCAGAAAAGAAAACATTTGTTCGCTTACAAGAAAAATATAATAACAAAAGTCCCCGTTCAGTCTTGTTTCACAACACACACACACACACACACACACACACACACACACACACACACACACACATATATATATATATATATATATATATATATATATATATATATACAAAGGTCCTCGGGTTAGGTCGGACCCGACATACGGCGTTTCGTGGTTACGGCACCATCTTCCATAATCTAATACGCTGTCACGCGACGCTATATGAGGAAGACGGCGTTGTTTCTTCAACCAGCTATACGCCATAATGGATTGTGCTACATTCATTATATCTCATATGTATAATTTTTTTCTTCATTTTTTTTGGAATATTTGCATTTCATCTCAAACGTAAGGCAGACTCGTGGGTGCTTATGTAGGTGTGTTCCGACCTATGTCGAAAACCAGGTTACGTAACACCATAGGAACGAATTTCTGGCGTAAATCAAAGACACATGTATAAAATATAATATAATATAAATATATATAGTAATAAATCAAGAAAAGTAATAATTTATTTCTGGAATATTTGTCTTTATTCATATATATATGAATAACGACAAAGCGAAAACTCTGGAGAAATGTTTGTAATAATGTCAGATTTTCAGAATTTTTCAAATCACGAATGCTCATAAATATAGCTTGGGCGAACTGAACGTACAGATAAATTATGGAAGATGCTAAGTGATATAATTTATGTGTAATGAGTGATAGTGACTAAAAGTTATTGTTGAATTTTCTTTATAATGTAATTATTATTTACATAATTCTAGTTTGATAAATTAAGTTATCTATTACATATTTCAAATAATAAAAGGCTTTTAATTTAACCATTTTCTTTTAATTCTTGTAATTTTTAAAAGTCGTCCGAGAGTAATATAAGAAAGATCCCTCGTTTCTAAAGGTATATGAGTGTTCGCAAGTTCGATTCTTAACAGATACGCAACGATTGTATGATCGAGCGTGGCTAAAATAATATGGTCAAATAATCGCTACACAGGTCGTTCAACAATGAAAAACGCTTTCTTTGTTTAATGTAGCCCTATTTAGAAAGCAGTAGCTAATCGCGCTCATGTTGAAGAAGAAATTTTATAAACACTGGTAAAGATAAAAAAAAAAAATAAATTTAAATATCTCGGAAGTGTTTTAACAGAGGACGGAAAGTGCGGCACTGAGATCCGAAAGCTTATTGGGATAGCTAAAGAAGTATTCCAAAAGCTAAGCAAAGTAATAGAAAATAGAAAAATTTCCCTAGAAACAAGAAAAAGAATACTAAACTGCTATGTAATATCTGTCCTCCTGTATGGCAGTGAGTGCTGGACGATCTCTTGAAGCATTAGAAATGTGGTTCTACAGGAGGATGCTGAGGATACAATGGACTGAACATGGTAGCAACGACGAAGTTTTTGGGAAAAAAGAAAACTAATACTTAACATCAGGAAGAGGCAATTGATGTTTCTGGGGCATATAACGAGGAAGGAGGCCTCGGAAAATCGGACACTCACGAGACAGATAGAGGGCAAGAGCGACAAAGGAAAACAACGCATGCTATACTTGGTAGGCTTGATTAAATGGATGGTAGAACAGGGATTATGAAAAATGACAGAAAGACAATGTTTATTAAGAGTTACAAGGGACAGGAAGTTGTGGAGAGCCATGATCGCCTACGTTCTGGGGGACACAGTACTTAAAGAAGGAGGTGTCCGTGATCAGGCTATGAAGCCAAGTTTTCGAACGCTGATTCTGATGGTATGTAGGTTGTTCTAATTCTAGGGACTGGAGCAACACAATCTTCCTACACTCTTTTAGCCTTGTATGGTAATCTTCACAGAATGTGGAATCGGAAATTTGAGTTAAAATTCTGGCATATTCTATTACGTTCACTCTCGCACTAGTTCCCTTTCATTTCTTCTCCTCCCCTGCTATAGGTTAAATAGTAGGGTAAATGTGACTCTATAGCCTTGGATCTCAATCGCCCGGTTCACACCCCTCCTCGTCGTTTATCTCTTGTTTCCAGTTTAGAATTGGGTTTCTAGTTGCTTCTCATTCACTTTCACTTCCAATAACTCCTTACGCCTTAATGACATTATCGCCTTGCTTGTGTTGAATTGATTGAAAATATATATATATATATATATATATATATATATATATATATATGTATATTTCCTCAGGATGCAAAGTTACTGAATTCGGCAATTCTTTTAAGCAGGAGTAGAGGTTTATGCCTTGTTTCCTGTTTAGGGTTGAGTTTCCGCTTACTTCTAAAATATTCTTCGCTTTCACTCCCAGTAACCACTTGCATTTTAGTGGCATTATCGCACTGCTTGTGATGAAAAGATAAACAAAAAAGATAAGTAAATTTTTAGTCTTAAAAACAAGTTGACATTTATTGACAGATTGAGACGTAGCGGGACAATTCCAGACAAGCAGAAATCGAAAAACAGGTAGACTGAAATGGATTTACAGACATATAGATATTGATAGAGCCTGCGAGGTAATGACACAGAAATTCATTGACATCCGATGAGCTGTTTTCACTGGTTCCCAGGCTTCATGAATTCAAGCGTCCTACGTGGCTGGCATCCCGCTTTCACCCTTTCACTGTTGAGACTGTTAAATGTAGCCGTCTCTTCTACTCCAATAGCTTAATGTCTCGCACCTCTCGCCTGTGGAACTCCCTTTCCTTTTCCTGTTTCTTTGATAGGTATAATCTCCAACTATTCAAATGTAATGTCAATAGACATATCCAGTTGCCTTGATCTATCCACTATTTTTTTCTTCATCCTTTCCTCTATCACTCCTATCTGCTTTCGCTTCAAAACCTATGTAACCCTTGCGTGCTAGTGGCTTCCAGCCTTGCTTGGGGTGAAATGCTTAAAAAAAAAAAGAAAGATCGATATTGGTAGATTATCTGGCAGACAGATAGAGATTAAAAAAAAATATTCTGATTTTGTGGCATACATTTGACGCGCAATTCTCGCAGGCCGTTTTATAGTTCGCTTGTTTAATATATCATATTATGCCTTTAATTTCTTGGGAAACATAAAGTCACAACAAGGCAGTATTTATGTGAGTAGGTTGTTAGCCTACTGCACAACCCCCAAACTTCATCAGGGTTTGAATTCAGAGTTGACCTTCTATTAGACCAGTTGCCACCCAAGGCTATAGAACCCAGTCTGTCTTGCTATTTACCCATCCGCTGGGGCGGAGAAGAAGAGGATTCATACCTTTCCCAAGGGTATTAGCATGTAAGTGAATATAATGGATTCGACTGGAATTCGAACTTGGCTCTCCGATCCCTCAATCTGAGCTGCTACCCATTACTCCACACTGTGCTTAAATTCATAAACCTAGGTACCATAGTGTATAGCTCATCTGAACAATTACCATGAAAGCATTTATAGAAAAGTAACAGGGAATATACTTTAAGTTGGTGAGAAAGTGGCTGAAGCAGAGATGCCAGGTTAGAACCAATAATATTGCTGATATTTGGATTTTATCAAGAATCTCTAAATAAATAGCAGGAGCAACAGACCATACGTGGCAGCAATATTCATATCTTTCTCAAGGGTATTAACACGTAAGTGAATGTAATGGATTCGACTGGAATTCGAACCCGGCTCTACGATTCCTCAGTCCGAGCCTCTATCAATTGCCTCCGCCGATTATGCTTTATTGGTTGCTATATTTAATACAGTCCTGTGCGGAATCTAGCTTGGCTAAAGATTTCTGAAATAGCAAGATTGGTTCAATGACACTTGTAGGAATGCTGGAATTTTGCAGCACAGCAAGGAAGAAAATCGAATCTTCTGTTGGGGAGGGGGACAAAATTGGTGTGGGTGGTTGGGTAAGAAACAAAGAAGCATATAAAGGATTTAGAAAGAAAGAAGAAAGAGAAAAAGGTAGAAGAAAAATGAAAAATAATCGGCACAGCAGGGATTATTTAAAATAAAAATACAGAGATGACAGGATTAGCCTTTGATAATCTTGCTGATTAGAACTTGCTTTTTCTTGAATGCATGCGTGCAGAAACTAGCTTGTGTGTAAAAATCTGCGGTTTCGTTGGCGTGAGATAGGAAATTGGAGGACGGAAGAATGCATGTGGAAGGGGTGGCTCATCGATACTGATCTATTTCCTGGCTTCTCCATAAAATGTGACTCATTCGTTCC